GACTTTAGTGACCAACCACCAAGTAACACTGCAGTGCCCAACCACCAGATATCCCTGCAGTGCCCAACCACCAAGTATCCCTGCAGTGCCCAACCACCAAGTATCCCTGCAGTGCCCAACCACCAAGTATCCCTGCAGTGCCCAACAACCAAGTATCCGTGCAGAGCCCAACCGCAGAGTATCCCTGCAGTGCCCAACCGCAAAGTATCCCTGCAGTGCCCAACTGCAGAGTATCCCTGCAATGCTTAACGGATGTGCCCAACCGCAAAGTATCCCTGCAGTGCCCAACCACCAAGTATCCCTGCAGTTGGGCACTGCAGGGATACTTTGCAGTTGGGCACTGCAGGGACACTTTGCGGTTGGGCACTGCAGGGACACTTGGTGGTTGGGCCACTGCGGGGATGCTTGGTGGTGGGCACTGCAACGATGCTTTGCGGTTGGGCACTGCGGTCAGGCTCCGGGCGCAGGGCGAGGACAACATGGACTTTAAAATCTAACAACCCCACTGCGAGGGTGGGGAATAAACTCCTAAAACGATGCATCCTCAATCTCCAATACTGTTTGCAGCCTTTCTCCGGGCCTTCAAGGCTTTCTCTTCAGCGCTTCGGTCCACAACTTGTTTTGTGGTTGCCTGTCTGGTCTTTGCACATCATTCTAGCTCCACTGTAACCTTTGCAGAGCCTGGACTTTCGAAACCGTGACCTGCGATGTGAGGCTTGCCTGAGCCGTGTATCGCTCGGCGCGGGCTCTTGATCCCGGGCTCATCAGTTCTTAACTTCAATGAATCTCTCCAGAGCTCCAGACAGCAGCTTGTAGCAACTGCTCCGCCTCCAAGATTGCCTGCAGGGCTTTGACGAAGGCCAAGCAGCTTGCATCAACATCGGAAAAAGTTACAAGCCTCATCCAGCTTCGGCACAAGCTTGCTTGGATCAGCACTGGCATGTCCTGCCAATCCAAGCAAGAAAGTGAAAGAAGACTTCTGCATGAGCCATCTGCCAGAAGCTTCCTGGTTGCAAGCTTTTCGCAGCTGCAAATTCTTCAACCTGCTTGTGCAGCCTCCGAGCCTGCTGAAAGTTTCGAAGCACAGTAATGCTCCGTAACGGAAGAATTCATTGCTAGAGGCTGCCTGCGCCTGTGCCTCCTGTTCCAGGCGTTGCTTCAGGTCCTCGCGCCAAAAGTCAAAGTGAGTACCATGCGAGGGTGTGTGAGCGCTATGAAGGTAAGAATGAAGAGCTATCAGCCTATGTCCAGGTGATGCGAGTAAGACCTTGTACAGAGCGAAAATCAAAGCCTGTCGCTCTGCAATAATTAGGAATAATGTCGGTTGATGCCACAGCAGGTCAGAATTCCAGGCAGTAGCAACCCTGCCGGATCCTCGCGCGTCAATAACAAGCAAGTCTATTTGACAAACGTCCCCAGGAGCCGGCTTGCCGCACGAAAGAAAGGGATGTTCAAACATACGCTTTTTGTTGGATTGCTGAGAAAATGTTGCTCCTATCTTCCAGAGAGGCACTTGGACGGCACTATCCTCAAATAATGGCCGAAGCCATGCCAGGATCAAGCAGAGACCGCAAGGACCCCTCGGAAGGACCTGGCTGGCCTAGGCGTGTGTACACTTGAGGACACAAGCTTCCTCGCCCTCTTTTTCTTGTAGCAAGCTCACGCAGCTTGTAGTACCAGGTTGATTCACAACTTGTTGGTCTTGAATGAAATGAAAGAAGAGCTTGAGCCCGATCCGGACAACGATAACTCGGGAGCGAGATAGAAGGGCTGGCTCAAGTAAAGGAAGGGGTGATTTGGGCTTCTGGTCGACAGAGCAGACTGCTTTCGCTAGAAAATGCGCTGAACCCTCTTTTGAATCAGCAGCCGCTCGAGGGATGCAACACCAACACTGGAATTTTTGTGGCCGTATTGGCAGTTTCCATGTTTTTTCCAATACATGATCCATGAAATTTTCATGATTTCCCAATGTGTCGAAAACAGAAGAGAACAACAAAAAGCAAATTTTGAATGCGGGAAGCTGAGTAGAAACATCCATAGTGCAAAGGAGTCAAGAAGACAAGAGGCCGAAAAGCCCAAAAACAAGAGCTAAAACGGCAAGATCAAAAACACACATACACATACACACACCAAATATATTAAAACAAAGGCCCCTTCAATTTCTTAACGGCCACAGAACGTCGATTCCACGGGTGATGGTGCAGCTTTTTCCGAAATATGTGGAGGTTCGTCTGTGCTGCCTGAACCCCCCCCTCTGCTTGCTGATCATGGCAGCACCACTGACAATCAAGCTGGCTAGTGACTACGCCCATGCATCCTTCTCACCCAGCGGTGCTTGGGCTTGGATAATCACTTGTTGGAGTATCTACAAATGCCGTAATTCCGTCTCACAAACATATGCAGCCCGTGAACCCTAATCTAACTTCGTCTGGCTGAGCCCCGGCATTTTGCTGACACAAAAAGAAGCGGCCCAGCCCCTCCTACCCAGAACATCTGATGTGTTCACATCTTGCATCAGACACTGGGGTCGGCCGCGTCTCTACCACCTGCGGGCCACTTTTTGCTTACTGACTGTACAAACTGCTTCCAGTCCCCGCGCCACCAAAAGGCCATCTCGAACACCTCGAGGCTTCCGCATCGCCGTGCATTGCCACGTCGCTGTGCGTATTGGAGATCCCAACAGCCACTCACGCCACTCGCAGCAAAATCTAAATGAAGCTTTGAAGCCGCGTGTGGTTGCAATGCTCAGAGGGTCAGCTTAACCGCCGCCAGCCAGTCTGCAGAGTTTGTGGAGATTTTCGCGACTTACGAGGGAGGGGGTTCACTGAGCACATCGGCTCACCAGCAACGCATAAGCACTCCTAGCGGGCGCTTCAAGTCCTTCATTTGCCTCAGCTCTTCCAAGGTTGCCTCGTTGTCGACCTCTTTCACGACTTCCACCTCACCATGATGTGTGTGACATGTGTAGAGCTTGGGGACGTGCTGGGCAGGTCTCAGAATTTCTGAGCGCATCTTTCAACTAGCTCGAGCTTGCCATCCAGCTGGCAGAGTCTGTAGCACATCGCAACCTGCCACCCTGCCTGCGCTGCGGCGGGCTTGTTCTTCATATGCTCTTCACATTGGCGGCTCAGATCATCTGCCCCTGCAATGTCATTCCGTATCAGCTTTGCTACACTGACAAAGCCTTTTGCCGAATGCTTGCTGTGCTACAGCCAGAGAGAACGTGCATCACCGCAGTGAGACTAAATGGAAGTTGGAAGGTTGCTCTTCGCATTCGCAGGATTCCAAGCCCGTCTGAACTACCATCCAAGGGCAAGCAGGCGTGCGTGCTTAGCAAACACAAGCTCTGAACATGAGAGATTCCTGCACGTCCATTCACCAAGAATATGCTAGCCCCAAGGCCCCGATGTGGCGAGCCAAGGAACTCGCACTTCCATATTCTGGGAACTTGGCAAAAGTCTTGCATATACCACGAGCTGAGGCCCTTACGACTTCTTTCTTTCTCAAGCAGATCCTGTGAAAAAGCCCAATTGGCTGTCATTAAGGTGCAAGAATGCAAGAATGTAGAACGGCACTTGTGTGGCCTTCACCTTTGCTAACTCTGCTCGGAGGTCGGTCACAGACTTCTGGAGCTCCTTTCACGCAAAGCTGCAGGCACTGATACCGTTGGCCGGGTCTCACGAGGGAAGCCTCAATCTCTGCAAGAAGGATGGCCTAATCAAACAAAAGTTGAGGATAGTGAAGCAGTCGGCTTGAGGCTGCGCAAAGGCCCTCCGAGTTCAGTGCTGAATTGTCTTCTTTGGCCTTGAGGTTGGGGAACACTTCGATGACAGCTGCCTCGGTGGACGGTGAAAGCCCCCAAGCTCTTTACGTTGTGAGCTTCATGGAATGGCAATTCGCACATCGGCCTGCAGCTCGTCAATCGGCTTTAGTCCCTGCTGGTTTTGCTTGGGACGCAAACTGTAGCAACGGCTGGCGCTTGAAGTCGTGGAGCAACAAGTATCAAAGTGTGGCATGTTGAGGCACCAGTCCTCCGTCTCTTTCTTGCGAATCATATCCTCAGGATTGAAAAGGTCCTGGAACACTTGAGAGAGAAGCACGGACGAAAGCTGGAAGTTAGCGTACGGTTGAGACTTGCAGCAACGCCGACATACGCCGACCATCGTATACAGGCTCCGCAACCGGAATCGCTTTTCCGGATATTGACACGCATACTTCGCGTCCTCCTGCCTGAGAATGAATGGTCACTTGTCCGAGAGAAACACACATTACAAAGAAGTCTTTTGTCGATGAAAGACGAGTCACTTTCTGATTGTAGAACATCGCGGAGGTTCCAGATTCTATCTGGGTGTTTTGGCTTGTGATGGCCCGTCTCCTTTCTATTGAAGCCATCACCTTGTCGTTAGGCAGACAAGGAGATCCCTCATTCCAGTACACTTCTGAAAAAATGTAGTTATCATTCGTGTTCAAGCACAAGAACAGACAAAAGTAAGACATTACCCTGAATTCTGGAGTGTATTACGCCGTGGTGGTGTGTATTTTCAGTGTTGTGCCTGTTTACGTGTCTTTATTGAGCTTTCAGGGGTTCTGTCAATGAAGTTTATAGTGTGTATGATTAATGCAGGCTTCAGCTTTTTTCAAAAGAATCATATTCGTACTTAATTTATTCAGTTGCTTTGGGACGTTTACCCATGTCCTAACAGTCCTATGACATGCGTTTTTTCACATGGGGGGCGCAGTGCAGATATTTACTTCTGACCAATATTCATGTCATCGTTGAACGAATATGATGTAGAACATATCTCGGGACGCTGGCAAGGCGCTCGTAGGACGTCCACTACTTGAGACCTCTCATCCGATTTTCCCAGCCACTGTGAAGTGCATGGACATGTGCAGATCCTAGTCGTCTATGCCTGGCATTTGCTCCTGATCCTCGATCCCTCTGTATGACGCATGATTATCCTGGAATATGTAGCCCGTCCTCATCAATCCGGATTATTGATATGGAGGCTGCTGCCTAAAGTCCAGGGTCTGCATGTGGGTTCCCCCTCAGATGTTGCCTTTATTTCGTGTCGTTTTATTACGATAACTTTCATCTACATCCTATCGTTTGGAAATGGAGGTTTCCCTTTGCATGCTCTGCTCCATCAATGGGTCCCTTAATCTTCGCAGCAGCTTCCATCTATACATGCCGGTCTTTGCTATTTGCATGGGGATTCCCGTATAACTCCTTGTGCTTCCTGTGGGGAATCTCCGTGGGAATTCTGGAATAGTTCCCCATAGATGTTGGCGCAGTACCTGCATATCCTAATATCAATCAGAATGTGTCATGCAGTCACTCCTGGTTGCCATGCTTACCAGTTTGCCCGGGTCGCAGTGCTCTACATGGCTTTCTCCACATGGTTTCCTGCCATGTGGAACTCCCCATGCGACCCCTTAGAAGTATCGGGCAAATGCCCATAAAGATTAGACGGATGCCCTATCGAACTCATAAAAGCAGGAAAATCTATGAACTTACAAATTCTGATGGAGATTCCCAACATAGTCCCTGCCAAAAAACATTCTGGTCTTTTGCAGGAATTCTTCTGCACCACACTCTCAGGTTTCATAATGCGTTCCCAAGTTTGAAGCCTTCTCATCTCATTTTCTGTCGTCCGTGTGCATGGATTCTATTAAAGCATGGTAGTTTGCATGGAAATTAGCTTAGCAACCTCACCATGATGCAAAGAATTGCATGTCCCACTGATATCCTTCACATGTTTTGGGGGGTAACTTGGTGCCTTGGTATTCTGGCTCCTCCATGAATTCGAGTATTTCCAGAACCTTGTCCTGTGCTTTCCGCCTATCCCATTTCAGAATTCTCAGTCTGGCGTCCACTAATAGAGAAATGATTCCCGATGGAGTGTCTTGTTAAGGGTTTACATCCATGATGAGTGTCCGGATACATTGATAAATATATATAGATATATGCCACCCCGCCCCAATTACCAAGACAATCTGTCATTTTAACTGAATTCCTGTTAAAATCCAATGAAAATTCATACAGATTCCTTGATTCCTGGTAATCTGGTCAGTATGCATTCTTTAAAAAAATAATTAGAGATGATACAAACATCCTGAAATGCTGGATTTCCAGTTGTGGAGGGAAACTTGGTTTATATGAACTCCTTTTACGATCTAATTTAAAAGAATACGGGAATCCTGGATTCTTGGTTTACAATTTTTGAGAGGGTTTTGGTCTATCTGAATTCCTTTTATAATTCGATTAGAAAGCATACAATCATCCTGAAATCCTGAATTTCCAGTTGTGGATGGGAAGTTGGTTCAAAAACAATACGGGCATCCTGGATTCCTGGTTTACCATTTCTTGAGAAGGTTTTGGTCTATATGAATTCCTTTTAAATTTCAAATAGACAACCCTGGATTTCCTGTTTTGGACAAGAATTTGG